TGGTTAATTCTGGGAAGTAGCACAGGGATGATTGTAGAGGGACTCACAGGGCAGTTTAAAGATATTGGGGATGGATGTTTTAGTTCTTAATCTGAGTGATGGATACACAGGTATTATATTATTCTTGAAACTTTACATTACAACTTAATTGTTAGTATAAATATTTCATAATAAGATTAATTGAATTAATAAAAAAACTGGGAAAAACTGCTAACAGCACCTCTTTGGCTTTAAGAATATAGGTATATTTCTCTTTGTTTTTCTCTCTCCCTTTCCCTATTTCTCTCTCTCTCTTTATCTATTTCGTTCTCCCTCTTGACTCTGCTATATTTTTCAAGATTTCTCGATTGTCTATTATATTTTTATAGCAAATGAATCATCGCAGGATACCTTCACAAGCTAAACAGGGAATGGTTCTGGATCATCCCCTATTCCAAGATTTGATGCAGCCAGAAATTCTCCTTCCATTAGCAACCAAGGTTGAGGGTTAACTGCAAGGCACCTTGATCAATCACGGATGTGGCTTGACTTTAGCTAAAGGACTGATTAATTATACATGTATTCCTAATAAACTGAGAGGGTGTGTGCTGAAACTTAGGACCAGCACGGGAACAACAGGAAGCGCTCCCTCAGATTCACACCTTCCCAGTTGGTCCCGGATCCTGCAGACACATTCCTCCTCTGACTCCTGTGCCTGAGTCATTTCGTTTTCTTTTGTGTTTGCTGGAAGCCTCTGAGGGTGAAGCCCATTTCTTCCCCATCAGTCTGGGAGTCTCTTGCTGTGGAATCATGTCTTTCAACACATTGGAAAACACAGGGCAGGATCCATGTTGCTTTCTGGATCCTGCCCTGTGAGGGGTTTCCATTATTTTACCACCTAAGATCTCCTTTATTATTTCTCCATGAAGCCAATGTTTAGAAAAAATATTGTCTATCAAAAAATTCCATTGTCAAGTAATAGATTGTTCTCATCTTGAGCGGCTGAGAGAGCTCCTGCTCTGCACAAGTCACAAGAGGTTATGCTATTCCCACCAAAAGGAAAGGGATCTGGGAGGGGACTTTGCCCAAGCAGCCTTGCCTGGAGCAACTGTCTGATTTGTGTGAGATGCTATAACTGCTGAAAATAGCTCATGGGTACCATGGCACACGTTACCCCTCCTTCCTTCCCTCTCAGGGCCCTGGGGTTCTAAGGGTTTGAAAAACATCACTCAAGCACTCACTTCCCTAGCACAGATACTAAAACTGGACTGATACAGAGGAGGTTGGGGTGGCCCCCGGGCAAGGGGGGTGTCTAGCACAGCAGAGGAAACACAGTCAACAGTGTTGCGCCCGGCCAGGGAGCCGAGCTGGTTAGCGCGTCGTCCGGATGCGCCAAGGCTTCAGGCTCCAGGCCGCTCAGGAGCAAGCAGGAACCAACCAATGAGCGCACAAGTAGGGGCACAGCAATCGGGCTCTCCCTGTAGCTCCATTCCCCTCGCCCTCTAAAATCAATAAATTAAACAAAAATAAATTAAATAATATTGTAGCCCTAGCTGGTTTGGCTCAATGGTTAGAGCGTCGGCCCGTGAACTAAAGGGTCCCAGGTTCAATTCCAGCCCAGGGCACGTACCTGGGTTGCAGGCTCGAGCCCCAACCCTGGTTGGGGTTTGTGCGGGAGGCAACCAACACAATTGGTTTCTCTCTCTCTCTCCCTTCCACTCTTTCTGAAAAGCAATGGAAAAAATATCCTCTGGTAAGGATTAAAAATAATAAATAAATAAATAATGTTGTAATAACTATGTGTGCCGGTGGGTACTGGAAATATCAGGGCAAACACTTTGTAAAGTATATGATTGTCTAAACATTATGCTGTATACCTGAAATGAATAAAACATAATATTTAATGTAAACTGTAATTGAAAAAAATATTTTTATTGATTTTAGAGAGAGGAAGGGGGAAGAGAGGGAAACATCAAGTTATTGTTCCACTTATTTATGCATTCATTGGTTGATTCTTGTATGTGCCCTGACTGGGGAGTCGAACCTACAATCTTGGTGTATCAACACGACGTTCTAACCAACTGAGCTACCTGGCTAGGGTGGAAAAAAATTTTTTTTAATCTAAAAAAGAAAAGAAAAACATTATCAAGACCAGCTTTCTCAGTACTAGCACGTTGCCTGGAAGGAGAGCAGAAGAGACAGAGAGAAAACTTTGTAAATTGTAGAAAACACCCTGAGGTGAGTAATATCACTGTTTCTCCTTTATAGGTCAGCTATGCCTAGATAAGCCACAAGACCAGGGTTCCTTTCCTCTCTCTGAAATCAATAAAGATATATTTAAAAAAAATCCCAACCCAAACATTTATCACAATTTATACAAAGGTGTAAAGGCAACTCAACGGAAGAATAATCTTTTCAACAACTGGTGCTGAAACAATTAAATATTCATATGCAAAAAAATCAATTTCCTTCCATACGCCTTTCTATATACAAAAAATAACTCAATCGTACACATATATGTAACTATTTAGGTCATATAACTGCAAAACTAAAACCTGTACGACTTCTAGGATAAGACTTTCGTGGCTTTGGGTTAGACAAAGATATCTTAGATATGACATCTCCACCCCAACCCCAAAAAAACCTCATTAAAAGCTGAATTCATAAATTGAACACCAAAATTTAAAAAACTTCTGTTCCTCAAAAGATACTGTTAGAGAATAAAAAGACAAGTCAGACTGGGAGAAAATATTTGTAAATCATGTATCTGATGAAGGACTTGTATTCAAAATCTCAAAACTCAGTAGCAAGAAAACAAATACCTCCCCTCCCAAAAAGGGGCAAAACATTTGAACAGATATTTCACCAAAAAGGATATACAGATGGCAAATAAACCCATGAAACAATATTTGATATAACTAGCCATCAGATAAATGCAAATTAAAATCACATTGAGATACCACTACATACCTATTAGAATGGGGAAAACTGAAAAAGACTGACCTTGCCCAGTTTGGGCAAGACTGTGGAGGCACTGGAACTTTTATACAGCTGGTGGGAATGTAAAATATTACAATCACTTTGGAAAACAGTTTGGCAGTTTCTTAAAAAGTTAAACATACTCCAATACTAGGTATTTACCCAAGAAAAAGGAAAGCATATGTCCATACAAAGACATGTCCACAAATGTTCATAGCAGCTTTACCTTGTCATAGCCCCAAACTGGAAACTACCTAAATCCATCAACAGGCGAATGGATACACAAACTGTAATGTATCCAGATGATGGAAGAATATTACTCAACAGTAAAAATGAATGGACTGTTGATCATGTTACAAATAAAATTGGATCTCAAAATAAGTATACTGAATGAAAAAAGCAGACCAAAAAAAAAAAAAAAAAAAAAAAAAAAAAAAAAAAGAGTACATACTATAGGATTTCATTTATATAAAATTCTAGAAAATGCAAACTAATCTACAATGACCGAAAGCAGATCAGTGGTTGGAAAGGGGGTGAGTTGTAGGAGACAGGGGCTCAAGGAAACTTTTGAGGATGGTAGATATGTTCACTTCCTTAGTTGTAGTGATGGTTTCATACGAGAGAACACAGGTCAAAACATCAAATTGTAGCCCTGGCCAGTTTGGCTCAGTGGTTAGAGCGTCCACCCTCGGACTGAAGAGTCCTCGGTTTGACTCTGGCCAAGGGCACGCACCTCGGTTGTAGGCTCAATCCCCGGCCCTGGTTGGGGTGCGTGCTTGTGGGAGGCAACCAGTCGCTATGTCTCTCTCACACTGATGTCTGTCTGTCTCTTTCCCTTCCATTCTCTCTGAAAAGCAATGGAAAAAATATCCCCAAATGAAAATAAAAAACAAAAACAAAACAAAAAAACCCCATCAAATTGTACACTTTATTTTAAAGGTGTGCAGTTAGTTACACGTCAATTATACCTTTAAAATGCTTTTTTTTAAAAAATCCAAAAACTGTGGAGGGAGCGGTGAACTGGGAAATAACCATTTTCCATCATCATAGTAAAGATGGGTTCAGGCAAAAATCATCAATGGTTGTTAAATAAATCTGAGGGTTGGGAAAGTCTGCTGAGGAAGAAGGTATTTGCGTCATCTAAAAGTGTCTCCTTGTACATGGCTTTTTAGTTACAGGGAGAAAAACAGTAACCATACAGTGGGAAAACTCAGCAGAGCTCTGGGTGATCAAAGTGATCATAAATCACGCGGGTAGGCATCTTGCTCCCCCAGGTGGGATACCTTGTGAAGGACACACCTTCATTTGTCTGGTATACTGGCTGAGATGCATAACCTGAACCTGATTTGGAAGACACATCAGACAAGTCCAAATTGAGAAACATTCTATAACAAACTGGTCTGCAGTCTTAAAATTGTCAGTATCATGAAAGACAAAGAAAGACTGAGAAACTGAGTAAAGGGGGATAGAGAGACATGGCAATTAAATGCAATAAACAGTCCTGGGCTGTATCTAATAATGGAGGGGAGATACCCGAAAGGACGTTATTGGGACAATTGAAAAAAATTATAAGATGGACTGTAGGCTTTATATTGATGTTACATTTAAACGTTTATTTATTAATTGATTTGAGAAAGAGAGACACTGATTTGCTGTCCCATTTATTTGTGCACTCATTGGTTGACTGCTGTATGCGCCCTGAGGGGGGATGGAACCCACAGTCTTGGCGCACAGAGGAGGACACTATCCGTCCTAACCAGCTTCCCGGGCAGAGCTAAACTATTTCAAGATGAAAGGTTTTCAAAATCTCCAGGCTAAAGACTCTGGGAACGGCGTTGAGGCATTGGGATTTTAACCCGGGCTGGTGTGGCTCAGTTGGTGGGATGTCGTCCCATACACGTAGGGGTTGAGGGTGTGAGCCCAGTCTGGGCGTGTAAGGGAGACAATTGATCAATGTTTCTCTCTCTCTTTCTCTCTCAAATCGACAAAAACATATCCTCGATTGAGGATTAAAACAAACAAACAAATAACTAAAGCTTTCCATGGACCCCTGGCGGGTAGCTCAGGTGGTTAGAGCATTGTCTCCATACGCCAAGGTTGCAGGTTCCTTCCCTGGTCAGGGCACACGGAAGGATCAACCATGATGCATAAATAAATGGAACAACAAATCGATGTTTCTCTCTCTCTCTTTCTCCCTTCCTTGCTCTCTCTCTAAAATCAACCAATCAATAAATATCATTTTAAAAAAGAAAAAGTTTCCCGTGGAGAGCAAGAACTGCAGCAGCCGGAGTCATGTGTTTAGAAACTTTCTTTCCCTCTTTGACCGAATATTAGTTGAAAGGAGTGCTGCGGAAACTGTAACCAAAGGAGGCATTGTGCTTCCAGAAAAATCTCCAGGAAAAGTATTGCAGGCAATAGTAGTAGCTGTTGGATCGGGCTCCAAAGGAAGGGGTGGAGAGAGCCAACCAGTTAGCGTGAAAGTTGGAGATAAAGTTCGTCTTGCAGAATATAGAGGCGCCAAAGTCATTCTAGACGGCAAGGATTATTTCTTATTTAGAGATGGTGACATTCTTGGAAAGTATGTAGACTGAAATAAACCATTATTGAAATGGCATCATGCGAAGCTGCCCATTCCATTGAAGTTCTGAACTCCTTCATCGTGGAAATAATTTCCGTGTCTCTTTTATACTAAACTAATGATATACAAACTAATGACACCTAGTGTCTTAAAATTTAGTTTCACTGTACTGATATAAACATTTCCAAATAAAAATATATAAATAAATGGTCAAAAGATATATAAAAAGCTGTCCATGTAGGTGTTGCCAGGTTCAGCAAATAAAAGTACAGGATGTTTAGTTGAATTTGAATTTAAGATAAACAACTATTTCATCTGTTCTTGTCTATTTTTTGTCTGTGTCATTCCCCCCGCCCCCCATTGGATAAACAACAATTTTAAAATTTTCTCTTAGTATGAATATGTCCGTGTAGCATTTGCTGCCTAAGCATCGGGTACCCTCTCGGAATGCAACATACTGACATCTGTACTCTGCGGGTTTTTGTGGAATTTCAGAGAAATTACCGGCTTTATCTGTCTCCAGTATCTAAAATCATCTCAGTTCCCACTCTTGCAGAGAGAAAGAGGCCAAGATAAATAGATTTTAAACGGCCAGAGTTTATGACAAAGAGAAAAAAATGTTGACTGAATCTAGCATCTTCTATATGAATGACAGTGATGGTCAACATTTTTTAGGGCTGATTACACAGGGGCGAGCAAAAGTAGGTTTACAGTTGTTCATACGGGAGAAAGACATGCAGGCTATGATGACCACAGCTTCACTAACTCTGTTTCCCCTACACCGCCTGTCGCCCGCCCCTGGATATACAGTAGCCAGCCCCTCAGGTGTCCCCCAGGCATCTCTGCCTCCTGTCTAGTCCCTTCCACATTGCACCAGAGTTGGTCTGTGTGACCCATAACTCTCTGTGTGACCGATGACCTAGCTGAAGGAACGGGATGGCATGCCACATCTGGATTTAGGTCTTAAAAGGCATTCAGGCTGTCATCGTATGTGCCCGCCTTGTTCTGTGGGAGGAAGCCCCACGGTGAGCAGCCCCGGGAGGAGTCCAGTCGCGGGAGAGAGCTCGGGAGGCAATTCACAGCCCCGGCCGAGCCTTCTGAGATTGCAGCTCAGCTGATAGCTGCCTGCGACTTCAGGAGAGACCCCGAGCCAGAACCTCCCAGCTAAGCCACTCCCAGATTCCTGAGCCTCAGAAACCGTGAGATCATAAATGGTCCTTGCTTTAAACTGCTAACGTTTGGAGTCATTTGTTATGCAGCAAAAGGTAACGAATGTATGGAAATATAGTGTAACACAACGTATCTTCTAAGTATCCATGTTCCCCAAATCGAATCAGTGACTTGAGGTAGGAGCTACCCATTTTACAGAAAGGCAAACTGAAGCACAGAAGGAGTGGTTGCTCTAATCAGCCTACTAGCAAGCACAGGTGGCTCCGGCTCCAAAGCCTGTGCTCCTACCTCAGAACTTCACAGCCTCCGATGTGCCAGGGGCTGGGCTGAGTCCGCCTGGCTTTATTATTCCATCTTACTGAATTCTCCCCTTAGAGTGAGGCGGAGGAGATCACTCCAGAGAAAACCAACAGGCAATATTCCCAAGATGCCTTCAAGTTAACAAGACACTAACTTCACACTTGCCTGTGAGGTAGGCAGGCAGCTTTTGTTTTCTTACGCCCAGTTTAGAGTTAGGCAAATTAAGGCTCAGAGGGAGTAAGGGCTTTGCCCGAACCAGGCTACTCCCTTAATATAATCAATGAGGCGTGTGTTTTCTGAAGTTGCAGAAATCTGTGTGTGTGTACACACACACACACACACACACACGCAGGCACGCACGCACAAGCGGGGTGTTTATTGGGGACCCTGGAAACTGCTCCATCCTTTATTTCCCGGTGCAAGGAAAAGGAAGGGGAAGCCCTCCCTCTCGCCACTCTCTTCCTTTCTATGGGATGTGCTCCCACCGGGGCAGCGAGGGGCTTAGGAATGCTGCTCTCTCTGGGAGCCCCAGCCCTTTGGTCTTTTATCCTAAATGCATCACCAATTCTGTCCCTCCCTGGAAGTAAGAACCTTTTGGCCGCCCCACCCCCCTCCCAGTTCTAACTCTTCACTGGGGTTCTCCTCCCACAGATTAGGCTGCAACTACTAAGAGCTGAGCTCTTTTCTTGATAAACAAAAGCAAACAAAATAGCCTTTGAAAAGAGCAAGAGGGATTGGAGTTAGAACTGAGAGGGGACTTCCAAACTGATCCCTTGTGGCAGATGGCCAAGAGAGGCTGTCGGGGGTATATTCTTTCTTGAAGATCCTTCTGGAAAATATCTATCTTTGCCTGAGTGGTACAGGGGCTTGTGTGGGCAGAAATGTTTGGGACCGTGACTTTGCTCACGATGCAACTAGGGAGGAAAGCGACAGGTAGTCCTTCTAAGAATCAGGATAGACCAGATGACTCCACAAGGTTTGTGAGGGTTCCTGTCACTTCTTGTCTCATCCGAAGGAGAAGAAATCTGCCACCTGTTTTGAGAGAGATCAGAGGAGGATGTCTGCTCTGAGTCAGTCCGTGAGCTTGGAGACCCACAGAACTTCAAAAGCAGAGTCCACGCAGGGAGGCTGCAGCCAGCGTCTGAGTCACCCGGGCCTGGCTGCAGAGCTGGCCTGGAATGTCTGCGGTGGTCCTGCAGGCCCCAGGGTGGGGGTGGG